AAAAAAAAAAAAAAACTTTTATGATAATAAGACTTAGCTACAAGATTAAATAAAACATATGTTAATTAGTGATTTCTCCAACCCACTATTTTAAAAACAAAATGCAGAGTTCAGCTACAAAAAGGCTCCTTTTGGGGAGGGAGGGCGGTATATCTTTGTAACCTTAAATGATTCTATGATTTTAAAATTGAAAAGCCTGCCTAGAAAACAATAATAAGTATTTACTACGAGTAAAAGTAATCTCAGTGACTAATTTGCATATAACCATAAAAATTATTAAAACTATTTTAGTGTATACATTTTCTCTTAAATATCTAGTTCAAGTACTGTGTGATATAAATTTCTGACACTGTATATTTTTTCTCCATTCTCTTTATATAAATTACCCTACATTATGTCCCTCAGAAAACACATTATAGCAACTACAGAGAGTTCAAATCAATTGTGTGTTCAATTTATGGTTTTTAGTGGGATATTATGAGTAAATATTATTTTCTAAACCAGGCAACTCATATTACATGGTTAATTTTATATAGACTATAAGGTGGGGTGTTCCAAAAAAGTAAGACATAAAAACAATATAAATAATATATTGACATGTATGCAGATATTTTCAGGGTACTTATTCTCATTCTACCAATCTTATTTTATACAATCATAATCTTGGTATGAAGTCAATTAGGCTCAAAGCATAGTCATACCAATGAACCTCTCTATAGTCCACTGCCATTCCAGCTAACCTGTTAAACATTAAGTGTATTCTTTACATCTAGAGGATTTTTAAAGTAGACAGGTCAAAAGAAAGATATTGCCTGTCTCTGGTACTTTTGACTGTAGTATTCAAAATGGGAGGAAGAAGATAGGAAAAGTAAGAGGAAAAGGAGAGGAAGACGGAAGAAAGACACACAAAAATTAAAAAAGAAAGGAAGAAAAAGAGAAGGAAATAATAAAAAGAAAATAAGTTAAAGGAAATAATGAAAAAACATTATTAGAATATTTATTATGAATGGTCACACTTTAACCAACCTGATTGGGATGTTCTGAGGTTAAATTCATAAATTTATTACTCATTTAAAAACTTTGAATTAGGCTATAATTATAAAGTGTCAATTACCTAATATTCATTATTGTATATTTCTTCAAAGAAATTTTTATGGCATCTTGAGGAAAATAGATTGAATTGTGCATATATATATATATTTTAACAATTAAATCTAATATGTGCAGGGGCGCCTGGGTGGCGCAGTCGGTTAAGCGTCTGACTTCAGCCAGGTCACGATCTCGCGGTCCGTGAGTTCGAGCCCCCCGTCGGGCTCTGGGCTGATGGCTCAGAGCCTGGAGCCTGTTTCCGATTCTGTGTCTCCCTCTCTCTCTGCCCCTCCCCCGTTCATGCTCTGTCTCTCTCTGTCCCAAAAATAAATAAACGTTGAAAAAAAAATTAAAAAAAAAAAATCTAATATGTGCATATATATATATTTTTAACAATTGAATCTATTTTCCTTAAGATGTCATAAAGATTTCTTTGAAGACATATACAATAATGAATGCATATATATGTGCATATATATATATATATATATATATATATAACATTTTCTTCCTGTTACAAGCCTTCTGTCCCTTGTTTATAAGTTAACATTTATTCTAACTATTCCTTCCTCCTCAGCCAGTTTAAGTCCAAAATCTATAAAAGAAAAATTCACATTACAAGACTAAATATAAAATATAAATATAAAACAATTTGACATCATTATTCTCTTACTGGAGAATATAGGTAGGATTTATTCTAATTTTTTCCCACCTCCTTTCTTCATTCCTTACAAAACAAGTATACTGTAGTTTTTAAATGAAAATAATTAAATTCTAACCAAATTTGCAACAAAAACTTGAATGCTATAAAAAATTATATAATACATAAAATCTAAAAACTATTATTCTGTCTTCCTATTATTTTTCCTTTTCCTCTTTCAATCCCTTTAAATCTACTTTGTATCTTCTAAATATGAAAAAGAGAATCAGGCTATGAATTAAAAAGATTTACTAAACTTTATTTGAGCTTGGTCACATTTTCCTGAGCTTTCAAGTTAACAGCTTTATACTTTATTTTTACATTGAAGCAGTATACTTAGGAATTTAAAGCAACTTACCTTTAAAGTGTACTGGTCCAAAATTCTCTGTAAAGACCACATCTTCATTTTATTTCTGTTTTAATATTCTGATAATTAAATAAAGATTTTACTATCTATTTATAACATAATTAGCCTTTCGAGATTGACTCACTCAGCATAATACCCTTGAGTCCATCCAAGTTGTTGCATATATCAAGAGTTCTTTCCTTTTTACTGATGGGTAGTACTCCATTGTATGGATGTATCAGTTTGTTTATCCATTCATTCTCTGAAGGACATTTGGGACATTTCCAGTATGGGGCTATTACAAATAGAGCTGCTATGAAAATTCGTGTATAGGTTTTTATGTGCACATAAGTTTTTATTTCTCTAGGATAAATGTCCAGAATGGGTACTGTGTAGTTGTATTTATATCATATTCTCAACATAACAAAACTAGAGTTGTAGAATAAATAAGTGATACCAGAAGTGAGAGTAGGAGGAGGGAAGAGATAACTGTAAATGGGAAGCACAAGAGAGTTCTTTTGCAATTGTAGAACAATTTTGCATATTCATTATAGTGGTGGTAATAAAATATATTTATGTGATATATATATGTGATAAAAATGTCATAGAATTATACACAAACAAAAAAATACATGCATGCAAAAACTAGTGAAATCCAAGTAAAGTATATGGTCCAGTGAGTTGTACTATATCAATTAATTTCCAGGGTTTAATAAAGCACTGCAGTTTCATAAGATGTCACCATTGGGGAAAGCTGAGTGACGGGTACACAGGTCCTCTCAGTACTATTTTTGCAACTTACTAAGAGTCTACAATTATTTGAAAATAAAAGTTTTTTTTAAATGGTATAATAGATATATTTTATGCCTAATAATCCTGTAAGGATTTAGCACCTTGTCTTATAGTAAACCCTCAATATTCAAAATAAGGAAAAATAAAACATATTTTCACAAAGAAAGAAAAAAAGGAACTTCTGATTCTGAAATACTTGGTTTAAAAGTTTATAATTCACTACACTTCAAACGTGATAACTACTTATGATAAATCTTATAGTCGAGGTTAGCTAAAATGATGTTTTTACCTAGCATGCCAAATGTCATTTGATAATTAGGATAGTGACTCTATTGTATAAATTTTTGGTATTACAATTAGAACATATTGAGAGCTACCTTATCTACTTTTTAAATGAATTTTAGTTCACTAAAGAGATGAATAAAATACAAATTAAGTAAAAGAAAAAAGAAAACAGGCTTAGTCAGATATATATTAAATAAAATTATAAAATAGAGTAAAATAAGAAAATGTGCATACCTGTTAACTTGATATGTCCTATTTCATCAAGCAAAATGCTGTAAATCAAAATTCACATTCAACAAGATGGAATCAAATATTTTTATATTTTCATTTACATAAAAATCATCATAAACTTAAAAATGGTATCTATTTGATTTACTGGAAAATATTTAAATGATTAACTTAAAATCAATGAGTATCTCGGTGCGCCTGGATGATTCAGTCAGTTAAAGCATCTGGCTTCGTCTCAGGTCATGATCTCAAGGCTCATGAGTTCGAGTCCTGCATCATGCTCTGTGCTGACAGCTCAGAGCCTGGAGCCCGCTTGGGATTTTGTGTCTCCTTCTCTCTTTCCCTTCCCCATGCTCACTCTCTCTTTCTTTCTCCTCTCACTCTCTCAAAAATAAATAAAAATTAAAAAATTTTTAAAAATCAATGGGTACCTCATAAAGATTACTTGTTATAAATAAGTTTCATATAATTGCATAATTCATGTATATTTTCACATAATTTTTAAAACAAAACACTTAGTGGAGAAAACTGTAATTATAGAAATACTGGTGACAGGGATTCATAAGGAGAATATAGCCTTACTTTTCTGGTTTCAGGTCTCTATATACAATTCCTAATTGGTGCAGATGATCCAAAGCAAGTGCCAGTTCTGCAAGGTAGAATTTCACATCTTCCTCTGTAAACAGAACCTAGAATGCAATAATTTACCATTTGGTCCTTTCTTCAATATTGAATTTTAAAAATTTACTTCTTTAAAAATGAATAAACAGACAAATCTAGGTTAATTAAAAAAATAAGAGAAGTAGTTAGATGAAATTAACTCTTTAAGAATCCTCTCTTTAATACTGTTTTAATGCAAATCTTCCTAAAACATATAATGGAGTTTATATATCTTCTACATTGAATGTACTCTGCAGGATTTACCTTTTTGTAACACTTTAGTGTCATAATGCAATTATTAATTTTAGTACTCTGCTACAATGTAGTCATATTCTCAGGATTTTTGAAGTTTATAGGATATTTTGGTGTACATTGGTAATTCCACTATTTCTACATTTTCTCTTTCACTGTCTACTATCACTTCTCAGGAATTTCACTATTAACAGCTCTAACTAACCCAAAGTTTCTAGTATACCAACACAAGATGTTAAATGAGTAACTCTTACATTAAACACAGTTCTAAACCCAGTGTTTAACCTAAAGAGTAGATCTAGGCCCATTCTGCTAGTAAAGTACTTGGGTTTAATGACATTTTATTCCTCATTTTGTGCCTGAGAATAAAGCTGCTATGGTGAAGTGAAAAGAGCACTGGAATTAGAATCAGATTAGCAGTGTAATGTTTGACATGTTACTTAGCCCTCTAGGCTTTAGTTTCTAAAGCTGTAAAATAAGGATAATAACACTTGCTATATCTACCTAACAAGGTTATTTTAAAAGCCATATTAGGGGGCTTGTGTGGCTCATTCAGTTACGCGTCTGACTTCAGCTCAGGTCATGATCTCACAGTTTGTGAGTTCGAGCCCCGCGTCGGGCTCTGTGCTGACAGCTCAGAGCCTGGAGCCTGCTTCAGATTCTGTGTCTCCCTCTCTCTCTCTGCGCCTCCCCCTCTCACACTGTCTCTCTCAAAAAAATAAATAAATAAACATTAATTTTTTGTAAAAAAACCGTATTAGTTTATGTGGAAAAAAACTTTGTAAATTGTAGAATGCTATGTATTTAACCATGAGGCATAATTATTATAGGTTTATGCCTATATTCATTCCTGAGTGTTAAATTTACACACAAAATTGGGTACTACTCAAACATTAGATGTAATTTTTAAGATTTATCAAAGGCTTCTGAATGGCAAAACAAATAACTTGTCTAGAAATTAGCTATTTTCATTAAAGAAATCTCTGGATTATTAGGAAAGCTCAAAATTTGAATGAAACATCATAAAATCTTATAACTGAACTGCCCATTTATTATTATGCTCACTGAATTACATAATACAGACTCAGGTTACTAGTAAAATTTCAGAGAATGAGCAGTTAAAGATAAATTTTGAAACTCTGCCTACTTCTGAAAATGATCTATAGAAAAACAAAGTTGTGCATTATCTAAATTTCAGAGTTCATCTGAATATAATGGTAAAAGTATATGAACATAATTTTCTCTTGATACTTTATGAAGAATAAATATGTTTGTTACTTATTTCTCAGGAAGGCCAATCAAAACTTTCATTTAAACCTAACACATAAGAAAACTTTAAACAAATACCTTACAAACTCTAAATTAGAGTCTTTGCCTAATTTTATGGCAAGCATATTATTTTGTCATTAAACTGTGTTAAAAGCCTCATGAGAGACACAAATAAGAAACTTACTAAGTAGCAATTATATGCCAGTAACTTTGCATTCATTATGGTATTACACTCTTTCAAACAACCCTATGAAGTAGGTATTATCACCACCTTACATATGGAAAAAGAGACAAAGAGACAAAGTGATAAAATAATTTGCCCAGAATAACATAGCTAGTAAGAAGCAGGTCTAGGATTTGAACTCAGGAATACTTATTCCTAAGAACTACCTAAGAAGTACCTCTTTCCCAGAAGCCACTTCTGCCGGCGATATTTCAACTCTGTTTTAGTTTCAGTACCATTAATGCTTTCCTATTCACTAATCACCCTATCACAAATGAACCCATGAAAAAACATCACTTAAAACCCTAGCACCCTGCTAGGCTTTCGTTGTCTGCTCTTCAAATTGTTTGTGTATGTATGAGTGCATGTGTGTTTTAACATATTTAAGATCACACTATATACTACTTAGTGTCCTCCTTTTTACCCACTTATCATATCATAAGCAACATCCCATATCTTTAAAATGTTATACACACACACACACACATATTATAAAGTTATCTAAGATAATTAAGATAATTAAAAACTGGAAATAACCCAACAGAACACTTAGGTAAATTATGGTAAATTAGTTTGGTGATATTATATTTTACGGTTCTCAATGCCTGAAGAATATCAACATAACTAATTTACCATAATTTACCTAAATGTTCATTTGGGTTACTTCCAGTGTTTCATTATCTTAGATAACTCTATTATATAT